GTGGGGTGCAGAACTCAAATACTAGTGAAAAGACCAGACTTAATGGTCTGACTGAGACGGGAGGAACTCCAGAAAGCACAGCCCCCGGACTCTTTGTCAACCCAGCACTAAAACCATTCCCGAGGCCAACTCTTCAGTCAAAGATTAGACTGGACTACGGGGACATAAAATGATACTTGTGAAGAGTGTGCTTCTTTGCTCAAGTAGATACATGAGACTAAATGGGCAGCTCCTGTCCGGAGGTGAGATGAGACGGTAGAGAAGGTCAGAAGCTGGTTGAATGACACAGGAAACGAGGGGTGGAAAGGAGGAGTGTGCTGTCACAGTATAGGGAGAGCAATTAGGGCCACATAACAACATATGCATAATTTTTTGTATAAGAGACTAACTTGAATTGTGAACTTTCACTTAAAATACAACAGTAAAATAAAATTAAAAAAAAAAAGAACACTTGCTTCAGTGATGAGGTGCAAAAAGGCTGTGAGCATTTGTATTAAAGCCATAGAAATAAGATGCACCTAAAATAGACATTAAATAACTGAGAAATGTTCACTTCATTTGACCACCCTGGTGGCACAGTGGTTAAGAGCTCAGCTGCTAACCAAAAGGTCAGCAGTTGGAATCCACCAGCCGCTTCTTGGAAATCCTATGAGGCAGTTCTACTCTGTCCTATAAGGTCGCTATGAGTCAGAATTGAGGCAACGGTTATGTATAGTCCAAACCCTAAAATGTCCCCCTATGTAAAAAAAAGTTTATTTTTCACGTAATTGAATGTCAGCAGAAAAAATGGGGGAGGGGGGTCAGAAGTAGGGGAGGAAGGAGCCATGAAATGCCATTTTAAATGGACATTTGACCTTTTCTTGCACTTTTTGCTTTCTTCCCCCCTCCTGCCCTTCATTTACACTTCTTTTTTTCTTCGTTTCTTCACTTTCTCCCTTATATCTTGCCTATCTCTGGGCCCCTCTTTCGCTTCTCCTTCTGTATCCCTTGCCCTGCACCCTCCCTCCCAGCACGCTGGTCAGCTCCTCTCGCCGGCGCGCAGGCTCAGCCCCGCCCACTCGGAGCTCCCGTCACGACTCTGAGGTCGGTGAGCCGCGAAGGAGGCGGGGCGAGGTGGGGACTCCGCAGCGTTCATGGGCGGAGCCGGGGGCGCGGGCCGCCCCTGCTATATCTGCGCCTGCGCCGGGCTGCTGCGGGGCCAGTCGTGACCGAGGAGACAAGATGGCGCTGCGGGCGATGCGGGGGATCGTGAATGGGGCCGCACCCGAGCTACCCGTGTCCACCAGTGGGCCGGTGGTAGGAGCTCGGGAGCAGGCGCTGGCAGTTAGCCGGAACTACATCTCCCAGCCTCGCCTCAGTGAGTATCAGAGAACAAGACGAATGCTGTCTTTGCTACTTTAGCCCTGCCCCTTGCTCCCACTCACCTGCTTGGCCCGCGGGGAGGGCCGGGTATTTATTTCTCTCTGCGGCGTTCCTCTGACCCTGACCCTGACCCACGTATATCTGTCTTTAGAACGAGGTTTGCGTGCACCCTGCATTGCCGGGACAGAGGTGGGCCGAGGGCAAGAGCACCCGCGGGACCTTTCTCCTGGGGTGGTGGGCTCCTGGCTATATTGCCCCACCGTCTCCAAGGAGCATTCTCAAACACAAGCACTTGCTTCCTGTCTCGGAGGGCCATTTCTTGTCACCCCAGTCTTTATCTTCCCTTGACCACCTTTGGATATTTTAGGGGTCGAGGGAACTCCCCTTCCTATCCCCTCTCACTGGTGAGGAACTTAGGGCCTGTCGTGAGGCTCCTGTAGAACGCGGACAGTGTAGCGCCGTCGCTGACGTGGTCAGGCCTGTTCGTGGATGGAGGGTAGGCCCGCAGTCGGAGGGAGACGTGGCTGCTTGTTCGGTGGAGGGGCTGCTCCGCAGGAGGATACCTAGATATCAGAGAACGCTAGAGCTGAAAAGTACCCTGCAGGTCATCTAGTCCAAGTCTCTCGTTTTACAAGTGAGAAGCTTAAGATTCTGGGAGGGGTGGGACTTCCCAAGTTTCAGACACCTAATTAGTGGCAGAGCAGGAACTAAAAATACAGGTTACTTAATTCTTGGTGGACCTTTTTCTAGCATTGCCTCTTCATTTACTGATCAGTTAAGCAGCCTTG